CCGCCTGAGTTCTAGAGTCAGCCGCCGCCGCCGAGGCTGCAAGGCCCACCCCCCACCCCAACCCTGGGGCCTCTGAGACACCCCCCCACCCCTAAACTGTGCCGGCCACGGAGGCCGGGCGGAGGGGTCACGGGGCCAAGGGCCCACCTCTTTCACTTCCATTGTTTTAGTCCCAGCGGGAAGCGGGAAGCAGGAGGAAGCCGCCCCTCCCCCACCTCTAGAGCCAGGCCGCCAGCCGAGGTCAGCTCCTGGGCAGGCCCGGCCCCCACCCTCTGGAGGCCCGAAAGCCCGGCAAGAAAGGATCAGTGCTGATGGTGTCCGTCCCCACCGGAGAACCACCCACGACGCTCCCCCCAAGACCTCCCTACCCCCAAAAAGAAACAGGAGAGCAGAAAAGAAAAAAAAACGTCCACTTTACTGAGTCACACCCAGCTGTAAACAAGTCACCTTGAGCCCCACCCCACCACACCCGGGCCCCAGGCCCGGTGAAATGGCTGGGTACAGCAGGAGGGTCGCTGGAGGAGGTGCCAAGCGGGTGGTGGCGGGCGGCAGGCAAGTGCAGCAGGCTCTGTTTCCAGGGATAAGCCCTGGGTGCTGGGGGGGTTGGTTGGGAGCGGGCTGTGGCCCCTGCGCCTCTGAGTGTTCGGCTCAAGAAACTTCCCCATAGCCCAACTTCCTCAAGGCCCCCTCCACGACCCCACCTCAGGGCCCCTGTGTTGGTCCCTGGGTCACCTGGCTCTAGGAAGGCATCCTCTGCCGAGGGAGAGGCGGGCCCAGCCCGTTCCTGTTTCCTGTGGCCCTTTGGGGCAGGCAAGACCCTCAGGGCCTCCAAGTCCACCCAGGGTCCAGGTGGCTTTGAAAGGGTGCCTTCCCCAGGGTCTGGGTACCCCAGTGGTATCCAGGTGGAACACAGCAGGGAGGGCGTGTCCCCAGGGCTACACGGCAGTCTCCTGGTCCTCCCGCTGGACCATCTGGTAGTGCTGGCGGTTCTCCAGGTAGGCAGCCAGCTCTGTGTCCTGGGCCTTCTCAGCCCGCTGCCGGGGCGTGTCCCCCTGCCAAAAGGGAGCGGTCAGCCTAGCTGGGCACCAGGAACAGGCAGAGACCCCTCCCGGGGGCTGGGGGCCTACTCCAGCTCCCCAGAATCTGTTCCCTGTCCCCACAGGCCAGAGTTCAGGGAGTTGGGCTGGGTGCTGGGGCCCTGCTGGCCGCTCACCTGCTGGTCTGTCTTCATGAGTGAGGCTCCAGCCTCCACAATGTAGTGGCAGATGGTACGCTGGCCCAGGGCCGCAGCCTGGTGCAGACAAGTCTCCCCACTGGGGGAGCACCAGTGGGCTGGGAAGCTCGGCCAGTATCTGCTCTGCTTCCCCGAGCGTGCACACCCCCCGCCCTCCCCATTAATCTCTGGAGGGCCACTGGGCAGGAGCGCTCAGGGGCTCAGGGTGCTGGGACATGGGGACGCTGCCCAGAGGATGGCAGGAACAGCTGAGAGGGACCTGCGGGGCAGGGGTAGGATGAGGTGGTTTCCAGGGTAACGGGGGGGGGGGGGGGGGGGGGGGGGGGGGGAAGGGGGGGTTCCCTCTACAGGTCAGATAACTCACTTTTCCTCCACAGCATCCAGGAGTTCGGCAGGGGCTGCAGGAGAGGGGAGGGGGTCAGAGCTGGCCAGCCGCTGCCCCCCACCTGACCTGGCCCAGTCCCAGAGCTCACCATGGTCCAGCAGGTAGCGGACCACCTCCTTGCTGCCTGTGCTGACGGCGTGGTGCAAGAGCGTGCGGCTGCGCTCATCGCGGTGCGTGAGGTCGCCGCCGGCACGGTGCAGCTCCTGGAGCTGTGTGGCAGGAGGCAGGGGCTGGGCTCCACTGGGCCACCCCTCCTTCCAGTGCCCGGCCCTGTCACCCTCCAGCAGAGCTGTGTCCTGTCCGTCCGTCCTTCCGCAAGCCCTGGGCCTGTCGCTGTGCAGCTGTGCACTCACACACAGGCCTCCCCTCACCCTGCACACCAGTGGGACAACCGCCCTCACCCCAGCACTGACAACAGAGCCCTGGGACTAGTGGCTCCTGAAAGACAGCTCCTTCCTAAGCACAGGGCTGGCTATTTCAATAGGAAGTCTGGCCAGGGACAAGGGGGGTGGGGGTCTACCCAGGAACCAGGAGTAGGGGAAGCAGGTCAGCTGACGACAGGGCCTGACCGGGCGCAGGGACGCCAGCAGCTGTGCCCTTCTGCAGCCTGAGGCCGGCAGCCCACAGGAGTCTGTACCTTACAGGCGTCGCTCATCTTTGCGGCCTCAATCAGTTCTTCACCTGCACAGAACACCTGCCTGTCACACTGAGGGCGTGAGGGCGCACACCCGTGGCACCATGTGGGAGTTGGCCGTCTGGGCCTTGTGTGCCTGTGTCTGGTTCCGCCCCGCCCACCACAGAGAGCCTGTGGCCAATGCTCCCGGGAGAGGGGAGAGGGACAGGCCTCACCTTTAGGGGGAGCGGCATCCCTTTGCAGTGACCTGCGGACAGAGCAGGAGGACATGGGTGCGAAGTGTCAGCAAGGTCGACAGGCCCCACTGCCCGGCCCCGGCCACCCTTGGTTTTTTCAACAGTTTATTGAGTGTGGACTACACACACGGCCCTGGCCTGGAGCCAGGAGTACAGCAGGGACCACACCCTTGCTCTCTCAGAGCTCACAGTCTAGAGGACGCACGCGAAGACAAATAAATACTCGGCCATACACAAGTCATCTGGGAGCACAGGGCAGGGGAGCGCTCGGCACAGGGTGACGGGAGTGGGGGCAGGGAGCTCTGGTGGACGGCGAGTGTGTGTTGTTAGAAGGACCAGGAAAGGGGGCCAACGTGGGCTGTCTCAGGACCGTGAGGCTGGACAGAGGGAATGGGAGCAGGGAGAGGTTAGGGGCAGCCAGACGTGGACTGAGCACTACTGCGCTGAGCGAAGGTTCTAAGCTCGGACTGAGACTCAAGCTGGGCTGAAACTTTATGCGCCTCACAGGCCGCAGGGACTCCAGGCAGAGGGAGGCAGGGAGGTGTGGTGGTGGTGGGGAGGAGGAGGGCTGGGATGCTGGAGGAGCTGGCAGGGCTTGTGTTAGGTGTATGGGTGAAAGGTCAGGGGTGAAGCCCAGGCCGTGGAACGCAACGGAGAGGGCCGGGGAGGCCCATGGGGTGGGTGGCGGGCAGGTTCACTTGGGTGTCCTTTGGTCAGCAGTGGGCAGGCTGGCAGCAGCTTGCTGGAGGCGGGTCTGGTGGTCAGGGGAGGGCCAGGCGCGGAGCGTTCAGTAGGCACCAGCTGGGCCTGTGGGACTCACCGGGGCATGGGGGAGCAGGGGGAAGTGGGGAGAGGGGAGGTGGGTGTGGGGAGGTCCGGCCTGGCCGACGCCCCCAGCAGCTCAGGGTCCAGGATATAAATCTCGTCCTGGGCGATCTCGGTCACGTAGTTGAGGTGTTCCTGTGGGTGGGGAGGGGGTGGGTGCATCAGGGCAGGATTCAGGGGCAGCAGGCAGGCCGGCGGGCCGACCTGGAGAAGCTTCAGCTGCCAGGCACCCAGGCCAAGAAGGTCGGCTCTGCTAGACTCGCCTTACCTCTCCCACCACTACCCAGGGAAGCAGTGGCTGCCCGGAAGGGCCTTTTCTCCCATCTCCTGGATCCCACCTGTGCCTCCACCAGGCCCTCTCGCCCACCCAGTCAGGCACACGGGCTCCCTTTCCTGCTGGCAGCCAGCGCACACCTTCTCCGTGGCCACACACAAGGGTGACTGCAAGGTGGGTGGGAGGCCGGCCAGCCCAGCTAACTGAGCCCGCTCCCAGGCCGGGCACCCCCAGCCCTGGTGGCAGCGGTGGCTCACCTGGGCCCGGTCGATCCTGTAGAAACGGCTGGCGGTGGTGGCTGTGAGGAGAGAGCGCAGTGAGCTGGCTGATGGGCAGGGGCCCAGGGCCAGGCTCCCCTAGGAAGGACAGAGCTGCCAGGAGCTGAACCCTCAGGGCAGGACTCACCGTCCAGGAAGCACCATTTGGGGGACAGTTTGGGCCCCGCTGTCGTCGTTGATGGGGACTTGGCTACAGCACCTTCCGGCTCCTATGGAGAGGACAGCACAGATGGGGCCTAGAGAGGACTAGGCTGGGAGCCCGGAGGGCAAGAGGCCCCACCCCATGCAGATAGTTTCCCCCCCACCCTGCCCAGCCAGACCACGCCCCACATCAATCAGGCCTCTTCCTCATACCTGCTGGAGCCTCTCGATGTGGGCCCGGCAGAGCTCCAGGTCGCTGTCTCCGGGCACCACCACAGTGCCCAGGGGCACAGCTGGAGGAGAGAAGAGGCAGCTAGCTGCAGCCCAATGCCCACCAACTGGCTGTTACCGGCCCCCCCACCCCCGGCTGCTGCCCACTTACAAGCCTCCTTGAGCTGCTCCTTGTCATAGTGCAGGGCCTCGTAGTCATGCATGCTGACTCTGCTCACCTGCACCCGGAGCTGCTCGGGCACGGGCTGCTGGCTGGGGGCGGGACAGGTGCAGGCTCAGCCAGGAGGGGCCTCTCCAGGGGGAAGGGGGGGGCGATGGGCAGGCAGGCTTAGCAGGGGAGGGCTCCCAGCTTCCTAGGGTCCGGGCCATGGCAGGAGGTACGAAGTACAGGGGGAGCAGGGGCAGGCTCAGCACCCGAGGGGCCCAGGGCCAGGGCCGAGGTGAGACGTACTCGCTGTGCAGGGGGGCAGCGCTCCGTCGCTTAGCCTTCTGCACCATGGTGGCCTGGTTGCGCAGGGTGATGCGGATGCGGGAAGCGGCCAGCTTGCAGGGCTCGCCGTCCACCTGCACTGGGATGGCCTTGAAGGTGGTGAGCACCACCTCCCGGCACTGCGTCAGCCGCTCGCCGTGGCCCCCCACCTGTAGCGCGGCCTGCAGCAGAGGAAGCCTGGGCTGCAGAGTGTCCCTGCCTGCTCCCTCAGGGGGCTCTCCAGCCAGAGGGGGTCGAACTGGTGGGCTGGCAGGGGGTGGGCAACACTCACCAGGGACGTCATGGTGAAGCCTATGACTTCGAGGTAGCCGTCGTCGTGCCTCTGGGGCTCAAAGTCATGGTGCTCCCCGGGGTGGCCCCAGGGCATGGTGCCCGCGCAGTACCTGGAGGACAGTGGGGGCTGCAGAGGTCAGACTCGGCTGGAGCCCCCCCACTGGCCCCTACCCGGCCTGCCCGCCTCACCTGGGGATGTTCAGGAAGACGATACACTGGGGCTTCAGGTCCTGAATCTTGGGGGTCAGGTCCACGCCATCACACTGGAGGCGAAAGTTGACGGGTCGAGGGTCACCCCAGCTTCCAGCTGCCCAAGACGCCGCCCCCAGTCCACACCCCGCCATGCCCTGCTCACCACCACTCGGATGTGCTTGGCCAGGTCCTTGGAGCTGCCCATCAGGAAGTCGGAGAAGGCTGTCTGTGGAGGGCAAAGGTGTCACCAAGTGGTGACTGGCCTGCCTCTCCCCACGGCCTGGGCAGGGGTCCCAGGCCCAGCAAACCTAGGGCATACCCCAGACGCACCCCGGCGTAGAACATCTTGTTCCGAAAGCGGCTGTTGAACTTCTCCGGGTTGGCCTCTGGGGGAAGACAATTAAGGAGGGAGGGACAGTCACTCGCTTTCCCAGGCTGGGGCGAGGGCAGAGGATTGGGGACAACCGTTTTGTACTGGTGGGGGCAAATCTGAGTCTCCTCGGGGACATTCCTGGCTTCCACTGCTGCCGGTAGGCGGCTCACCTCTTGACTCATGAAACTCCAGGGTGACGTGGGCGTCGAAGCCCAGGCTGAAGTAGTTGTTGAAGACATCCAGGGGCAGCTGGGAAAGGCCCAGGGACGCCGGTCAGGACAGGGATGGGGGCCCCACCTGGGGTTTCCCCTGCATCAGCTCTACCCTCAGTATGTCAGCGAGGCCTCCATAGAGGGGACTAACAGGCACCCCCCCACCCTGCCCCTGGCAGTACCCTCTGCCCAGCACCGGCCCTGACCAGCTGCAGGAGCTTGGGGAAGTGGCGAGGGGCGCGTGGGCCTCCCTCTGCATGAAGGGTGGTTGCCATGTCCAAGGTCCCACCAGTGGGGGGGGGCGGGCTGGAGGGGCCCAGAGTCCTGAGCGGGCGTCCCCTGACCCACCCGGTCGGTGGCCCCCTCATCACGCTCCTCAGGTCCTGCCTCGGGGTTGGGCTCCGCATGGAGGTCCCAGCGGTCCAGCTGCACCACGTTGCCCTCCTCCACGTGTGAGAGGATCTTGGAGACTGGCTCGTCTGTGTAGCCCTGGGGGAAGGAGGCCGCCTGAGCCGCTGGTCAGCCCCCAGCTGTCCCAGTACGTCTGCCCTCCTCAGGGGCCATCTTACCCCACCCCAGTTGAGGGTACGGGCCAAGTCATTGCCTGTGCCCAGAGGCAGGATGGCCACAGGGGGCGGTGGTTTCAAGCGCAGCTGGTCCAGGGTAGACAGGATCCAGCCAACCTGAAGAGAGCAGAGAGGGAAGGAGCCCTGCATCAGGCCCACGGGAGGCCCAGGCCGCGCCCCGACCCTGTGCTGGGGGAAGGCTCACCGTGCCGTCGCCCCCACAGGCCAGGATGCGCAGGTTGTGCACTTTGCGGTACATCTCCAGCCTGGGGAGGGGGGCAGGTGTGGGGTCAGGGGGTGTGCGCTGGGGCTGAGAACTGGGCCAGCCCCCCACCATCCTGAGCCGTGGCAGGGACTCACGCCTCTCTCGGTCCTCCCTGGCTCAGGTCGAAGACTTGCCGGGGGTTGAGATACCACAGGAAGGACTGGATGATCTTTGCGCCCTGTGGGGACGTAGGTGGGATGGGGAAACAGAGGTGAGGAGTGTGTGTATGGGGGGGGGGG